AAATCCATTTGCAGACCGGTTTCTGGTTATTGCTTTCATCAGTGAGAATATTTTTTTTATTTTAATTTTTATGATGTCTTTATTGCGATTGGCACTGATACATGGAGTTACAATTAACTCATTAGTAATGTACTATCACATAGACACTTGTGATTCTGAGATCCTACTTGTTGATGTTCCGTTTACCTACATACTTCGCAAATAAGATACCAAACCTCAAGGACCAGACTACAGTGTCACATCAGTTGAAGAGGGTGTATAACACTTTTTCTAGAAGAAATTTTGTTTATATATTTCTAGTATACAGCGGGCATAAGTAGAGTCTGTTCACAATGTAAAGAGGCCAGGTACGTCACTGTGACGTAGAAGCGCAATAACTGTTTTTCTATTCTGTTATTGCAAACGGTTCATTAAATGTCTTGAGATAGCCATGTTTGTCGCGCCGATAACGACACACCCCTGGCTTCTTTACATTGTAAAAATTGATACTAATGCCAATGCCTCCGTGGTTTTTACCATATAAATTTTTACTGCTTACGTATTGAATTCATATTTAACAAATTAATATCCCAACAAAGTGCAAGAAAAAATATCAGATCATATTTAAATTATATACTTATGACATTATATCACTGTGATGTATGATCTTCAGAAAGGAAACAAACTGTTTTCATAATTAAAAATTCTATTTAAAAAAAATCACATTTAAATGAACACCAATTTTCACTTAACTCTAATAACTTGAGCAACTGTCGTACGATTCCTGTTCAAAAAGTCCGCTAAGATCACTGTTGGAGACATGCACACCGTTATATTTGTGTGCTCCGATGTCCTTACTGTTCTCATATAACCGGGTATACACTCACACACCCCAAAGCGTTCACCATTCCCATTAGTGAAAAGCTCCTCCTTACCCTGCCGCATTGGTACTAACCAGGAGCCTCTAGGACAGGGCCCTTGCATATACATTTTATGGCACTCGTTATTATACCTGACCATCCCCTTAGTCCTATCACATTTAATTGTACTAGTCGTTTCTATATTACAGTCTTTTTTCTCACATACACACAAACCGTTATAACTTATTCCATCAACGGAAGGTCTAGTGTTAAAATCAAATGTCACTATGTGATTTTTTGAGCAGGGCCCTTGCGATCCTATTCGGTAACAGTGCTTTTCTTCTGGGAAATAAAGGTGCCCACGTCGACATGGTTGTTCTATGCACGTTGTCGTGTTGACTAAAATATAGTTTGGAGGGCAAGGACCTTGCGTGTATGGCCGATAGCAAGATGATGAGTTTTGATATTGAAGGTAGTTGGGTTTGCAGTGACAAGATGCTTTACGTGTCTCTGGGTGTAGTTGGTAGACTTGCCCTAGCCCACAGGGGCCTATTGAATCTGCAAATTAAACATATGTATTTTAATAGTATCATATAATCAACATATAGTTATGTATTTTTTTTATCATTTATTTAACTTTGTCTTATTTCCACTACCATGGCCAAACGCCGATGCCTAGGAAATAAGCTCATCAGTGGTATCTCTAACCTAGAAATTTTGCCAAACTCCCTACCTATCTACTTAACGTGCTCATATGGCAGATATACGGAGCTCACAATTTTAGGTATAACTCGTCAACTTGGTCCAGCCCGGATTTGAACTCGGCCGGTCAGGGTGGAGGGATGCACCTATCCCTTACACCACCATGCCTATCTGAGTTACGTTTTAAATGGCATTATTATTTAATACTAGTGTAAAATATGACCATTCATCGGAGAATTTAGTATTCCCGGCGAAAATACAGGTCAGGATTTGACATTCACGAAAAGATAGGTCAGCATAGTGATCTATATTTTGTAAGTTTGAATATCGACAGGCATACTTCTAACATATCTCAGCTTAATGTTTTGTTTGTTCATTCATGTATTATCCAAAATTTCCCCGAATTGTTTCTGTAATTTACAAAATGGCTTCGCATCATTACATAAATTGTTAATAGCGTCTTATATGCGCCACGAAATTAAAAGAAAAAACCGTACAAATCGTCTTACCGAAAATCCGTCCTATATGCGCCACTAATTTAAAAGAAAAACTATAAAAATCATCACAACCGAGAATTCGTCCTTCATTTGCCACTAGTTGAAAATTAAAAAATTTAAATACTTGAAAATTAAAAAGTTTAAATATACACAAACATGACTGTTTCAATGTTAACACCCACCACGCGTGGATCTCAAATTATTGATAATATCACTCTTTCGTAATAAATAAACAGAGAAGTTAGGTCGCCGCACGTAACTAACCTTCCGCAAAAAAGGTTGCCACGTGGCGTGCAGGTAACAACACAGTCAGATGTTTATATGTGTATTTACATATATACATATGTAATATAGAGTCAACTACACCATTAGGTCAGTAGTGTAGTTGGCTAGAGCACACGATGGCAAGTGTGACTAGAAATCTTTCTATCGTAATTGCAAGTTCGAATGCCGCCACCGCCACCGGCAATGTCGGTGAGAATGGTTGTAAGTCTATGTTTTTCTAATTGTAACCCTCTTCTAAACAGCTTTGGCTTTAGATTTCGGGGGTGGGTTGTATAATGTCTGTGGTGTTTATTATTATTATAATTATTGTAATTAATATATATCATTTTGAATTTAAAGGCCGTCTCTGTGGGAATACCAAATCCTCCGATGTTTAAATGACATTTAAATGTCTCGAAGCCAATACTAGTGTTAGGTACGTGTTTCTTTAACAAAAATTGTTCGCGTCATTGTCATTTTTTGTATATACAGTGTTTCAAATTCGAGACACCATTATTTTGCCTATTTAGAGGTGGTATGAGTAAATTTTACTATTTTGCTATAAATGATAACACTCCATAAAAACCTAAAACACTATATTCCTAAAAATAAAAAAAGTTGTAAGAAAAAATTTCTTGAATTTACAGTTCAATAATTGATGATCAAAAAAATTTACACAAAATTTAAATGATATAGCTTTGATTTATCTTCAAAGAGCCGTGAAATTTATATTTATCATAATTTGACTAAAGCTGATCTGTGGTTTTTGTGTTTGTTTTATCATAAAAAATCTTACCCAATTCAAAACATTTTTGACTGTCTTCATGAAAATGAGGTAGAAAACTATGGCATCCGCAACTTTTGTCTGGGAGAAACAAATGACCCTTTTCCCAACATGGACCTTTTGTGAAATGTTGGTAACACTGGCCATCTTCGTACCTGTTGATTAATAAAATATTAACAGCTAAGTATTCTTAAATAAAAAAAATGTGTTTTCAGATTAAAATCTTTCAAATGTCAATTTTTTCTCGATTTTGTACCTATAATCTCGTAGTTCTTTATGGCTGCTGCATTTGCACATTGGTATTCTATTATTTGGATCTGCTATTAGTAGTTGGCCCTTGGGACAGGGGCCCCGGGTGAACATCTGGTAACATTGACCATCCTTGGGCCAGTAAATCCAGGAGGGATTTGTACAGGTTTTCATTTGTTTACAAACGCCCCATTGACGTTTGGAACTGTAAACATAAAATAACAATAGTATAATATGTCTGATAGTATTGTGAATTAAAAATGCACCCAACCATATAATAATTCCAACATTTCAATATTCTGTAGCTACTATTCTATATTTAAACTGCTCTAGAAAAATGTGAAAGCTCAGGGGCGGTTCTTCGGGGGGGTCCTGCTGGCGGCCCAGGCGCCCCAACTTCTTGAGCTACATTTATAAATAAAATAAATTAATTGCGTTGGCAACAAGAATTTGCCAGGAGCTAGGATATACGGCCGAGATGATTCTATGCACGGTGTGTGACAAGTATATGGACCGTCACTTGTGAAATTTAAAGTAAACTGCTAAAAAAATAAAATTTTGAGGGTATAAATTAGATGTGCATATTACGAATTCATTTTGAAATTCGTATCACTGTTATCTCAAAAGATTATATTCTAAAAGGGAGTACATATTTTTCTGATAAAAGAAAGTATCGTCAGTTGCATAAACAAAATTTTGAGAAATTAATTATTGTAATTTTGAACCAAAAAATTTAATTCAAATGAGAGTTATGGCTTGCCGCGAACTTAGACTCTGCCCATATGATAACATAAAATTATTATGAAAAGAAAATAAAAATAATTACTGAAAGAAAATCTTTACTAATGAAATTTTTTAAAATTTAGTTTTATTTGTCGGGTCCAGAACCTCCCCTAGGTAGATTGCATTTTTCTACAAATCTCAACCCGTTTATGTGTAGTACATACTTTTGACATTATTCAAAACTTTTAATTTGACATATATTTAGGAAAATATAGAGAATGAGGACCTTATCGATTTTAGAAGCAGGGATAATTTTTTTTATTGTTGTTCGGTATAACAAAACTTCATAATTAATATTGGTTTTGACTCTAAAAGTCCTAAACTTTTGACACAAAAAGTTCCTCAAAATTTTTCGTAATCTTAAAATTATTAAAATTTTTTAACATTTTTTATGTATACAATGAAGTGCAAAAGCTTTATACTAATTGAATATTTGGATATTGATTGGGTAGTTGCAATTTGTATAGCATTTAAAAAATTTCATTTACTACTCACTTGTTACTTTTATATTGAGTATCTGGTCCAAAATAGTGCCCTACGTCACAAGGGCCTAATGAAAATAATTCGTAACAGTTTCCATCTCTAGCAGATTGGGCTGTTTGTGGTGGACAGCGACACTCGGCTGATAAATTTTTACCGGATTTGCTTGAAGAAGGGCTTAATTCCATGCCTTCAGGACAAGGATGACCTACCTGAAAAATTTATTCAAATCATTACAAACTTCCACCTGTAATCTTAAACACCACAGGTAATACAACCCCCTGTATCCCTGAAGGTACTTCAAGGTATCTTGTGTGGGAGAGGGCTACACATTTTGAGAGAATGGACACACTCCCAATGGTCGAGTATGCTAGGATTAATTTCTGTTTTAGAAAAAAATCCTAACTCCTCGGCCGGGGATCGAACCCGGGGACTCCAGGATGAGAGACAAGTGTCCTTACCACTCGACCAAGAACCCACATCTTTCGTGGCCAGTTTTTTAAAGACATTTCTCTGTACAAATGTAATCGTTCTTGGTGCATCACAAATACTTAAAAATAACTTCATTAGCTGTTTTTAAGATTAATTAATCTTACTGAAATTATTGTTGGAAAATCATAAATCATAAACTAAAGTGGGATGTATGAATTTATATATTTTGTTGGCTTTTATCTCAAACACCTTTAGACCCACTTTGATGAAATCTTGTAAAAAGAGGTTTTTAAAGGTGCTGATTAAGAATATCTAATTAGATTTTTTTCTAAAAAATTGCTAATATAAACTTTCGAAAAATCCACCCATACGTTTGCCTATATAAAGGCACGCCAATTATGATTCTCAAATTTTACTACGTCGGTAAGTTCGATTTGGGAGCAATGATCAACCATCCAACTTTTAAAAAGATCGCGCTAGTAATTTTTTGAGAAAAACATTCAAAACGAGATAATAGACTTGCTTCACGAAAGTGTAAAATCGCATATTACTGCTGCAATAAAAAAGCGAAATACTATTCCATAATATTAGATTGCACTCCTGACGTTAGTAAGGTGAAGCAAATGACCCTGATAATTAGATGTTTCCATCAATAAGCCTAATTCTGATTCAAACGATGTCGAAATAAAAATCTACGAAAGCTTTTTAGATGACTTACCTGTGGAAAGATCTACAGGAAGACAACTATATGAAATTATAATTGAAGAGCTTCATGAAATGGGACGTGATGTGCGAAATATATAAGGGCAGGGATATGATAACGGGGCTAACATGAGGGGGGCAACAATGCAGGAGTGCAATCTAGAATCAGGAATTTAAATTCACGAGCATTCTACGTTCCGTGTAGTAGCCACTCGCTCAATCTAGTGGTAAATGATATGGCAAAAGCATCCTTGGAAGCAGCCAATTTTTTTAATATAATATTTAATATATTTATTTTTTTCTTCTACTTTTCGATGGGCAATATTTTTAAAACATGTCAAAGAATTAACATTAAAACCTTTGAGTGACACTCGATGGGAAAGCAGGATAGAAGCTTTAACACCCTTTAGATTTCACCTTGGTGAAATATACGACGCATTGCTAAGCATTTATGAAAACCAAGACATCGATGTCTCAATAAAAGACGAAGCTTCTGGTTTGCTAAGTTGCGTTAAACAATTTAAATTTTTATGTTCAATAGTCATATGATATAAAATTTTAAACTGTATTAATTCCATAAGCAAGCTTATGCAAACAAAAGATTTTGATTTGAAAAAAGCACTTGATCTTCTAGAGAACTGCAAAAATTTCTTTAAAAATCTTCGATCAGATAAGTCTTTCAATAAAATTATTGTTGATGCAAGAGAATTGGCTGATGAAATTAATATTGAAGCCAATTTTGAATCAACAACGCCGCGACACCGCGTAAGAAGAAAAAAAGGCCAACTTTTCATATGAGGCAAGGAACGAACCAATCGAAGATCCCAAAGAAAAATACAAAATAGAATATTTCTTCTATACTATTGATCAAGCATTAAACACAACCATTTTCAATCTCTATATAATATATATGATTTGAAAACCATGCCTAAAGAGACACTGATAAAAATTTGCAAAGATCTGGAAAATATTTTGTCTGATGGTGAATCAGCTGACATTTACGGTCTAGAATTAGTAGAGGAAATTTCTGCGTTTGTGCACTTTTAGGCAAAAAAAGAAAGTCCAATTGATGTTCTTAAAATAATAACAATGCTAAATTTTGCTCCAAATCTTAGTATTGCCTTAAGAATACTACTGACCATTCCAATATCAGTAGCAAGTGGAGACAGAAGTTTTTCCAAATTAAAATTAATCAAAACCTTTTTACACTCAACTACTACGAAAAATCGACTAAACGGCTTGGCCATTTTAGCAATTGAACATGAAATTGCTGATCAAATAAACTTAAAAGCGTTAATAAAAAAATTTGCACAATTAAAGTGAGAAAAAAAATATTCTGATTATAACTCAAACAATGTATTATTGTGGTTCTATGTAGTTACCTTTTGTTTTCTATTTAGGTTTTAGGTATAAGTGAGAAAAAATCTAAATCGTAATAGCGGTAAAATTGCACCCTGTATGTTTAAAACTAAGTAAATATTTTTAAAATATAACTAGGTATTTATAGGTACTGCAACTCGATTGTATTTTAATTAATGCTGTTTTGCACCAAATGTTAAGTTTTAATACTTGTTTCTTTTTAAATATACGTTTTTATTGCAAATTAGAATCATCTTTTATTAAGAAAAAATAACTTTAAAAAGGGGCGGCAATTTGTTTTTTGTCCGGGGCGGCGTAAACGCCAGAGCGGTCCCTGCGTATACCTATGCACAATTGGTCTGCTAATATAAGAAACGTTTAAATTATTTATGGCTTTAACTCTTTAAGAAGAAAGTTGCGATTTTACACCGGCCCAACTATACGTTAACCGAACAGGCAAGACGTAGGACCAAACATGTGGTGAAAACCGCGCTTTATTTTGAACACGGACGATATAATAATTTTTTTCGACAGGATATAAGCATTGACTGCCAAGAAAGAATCAAATTTACCAGTTTTATGTAAGTTACGAACAAACATGAGAATTGATATTTAAAATCTAAACTAATTTATGTTACACATGCACGATTTTTTTAAAGCTCAATTACGTCGTAATTCCATTTATTTTCTTGTAAAAACCATGTTACTGCAATAATAAATACCTAACAGGAATAGGGAAATACATGAACATCCAAGAAAATATCTTTTAAAGTACAAGCACTAATTCTGTTTGATTCCGTTAGTTCATATAGGAAATAAAAATTTTGTGTTCAGTGCTATAATTTGTCAGGAATGTTCAAGTATAAATATATATACTATGTATATCGCAAGTTATATAATATAAGCAGCTGAGAACTACTTTCCGGTAGGTAACTGTAAATTTCTTCTACTTTATAGGTAGGCATAACCATTTGAATAGATACAATCAAAACTTATGTTTCAAAATTGTCAATTTGGTTTTGCAGATAGTAACTATAAAATGTATACCTATTTACTGCATTCACTATTCACATTACATTTTAAAAACAACTGTAACTGTCATGTTAATTATTATACAATTTTCAAATAAGTATGACTGAAAAATATGGTTTCGGTTGTCATCTGCGATGGATTTGAATAAGAAAACTTATACTTATTTTAACTGCATGCATTACAATAAACGAACGGGCCTAGATATCAACCATTATACAGTGCGTCCATAAAGTAACGCATAAATTCATTATTAGGTAAATAAACAATATTATTGAAAATTCCCGAAACGCGTCGATTTTTGACTTTAATTTACTGTTTTTTCAAACAATAATTTAATATACAGGGTGACCTACCTTCGAGTAATGACGTTACCACCAGATTTTTAAATGGAACACCCCAATTTTTTCCCAATTTTCGGAAGTCCCTTGCTGAACTGATTTCAAAAAATGTATCACAAGTTGCTTCAAATTGATACAGGGTGGACAACAATACAAAAGGTGTTTATAAAAATTTAATTAGAAAGTTATATTGTATATACTGTATTTTTACAAAAGACAATTTACAATAAATGTTCAAATTGTTCTCCATTGACCGCTAGACAATGACCTAACCGGGCAATACATCCGTCTCTGACATTTTGTAGCACAGCGGATGTTATGTTCAACATTTCTTGCCTGATTCGGTCTTTTAGCTCACGGATATTGCCAGGTCTGTTGGTATAGACTTTAGATTTTAAATAACCCCATAAAGGAAGTCTAGTGGACTAAGATCAGGTGATCTAGCGGGCCATTCCACTATTTCCCTTCTTCCTATCCACCGATCTGGAAAGGTTCTGTGTAAGAACTCGCGCACAGCTGCAGCGAAATGTGGAGGTGCGCCATCCTGTTGAAACCAGATTCTGCTGTCTAAAGTATTGGCTATTTGAATATCAGGAAAAAGTCGAGTCAAATCAGGAATTATTGTATTTTGTAAGAAATTCAGATACAATGCTCCTGTAAAATTTTCATAAAAAAAATATGGACCAACAGTTGTATTTCTCACAATACCAGCCCACACATTGACCTTTTGTGGTCGTTGCGTATGGTATTCTTTCAGTGTAGATTTTCCTGAGACCAATAACGTGTGTTTTGCCGATTAACATGCCCGTTCAAGTACAACGTTGGCTCGTCGGAAAATAAAACGTTAGCAATGAAATTGTTATTTCGATTATTTTGGTCCATTATATACTAGCAGAATTCATTTCTTCGGTCAAGGTCGTCTTCAGCCAATTCATGGATGAGATGTACTTTATAAGGATGGTATTTTACCTTTTTAAAAATGTTCGACACTGAATACTCTCCAATATTGAAATCCCTAGATACTCGCCGCACTGTACAATGTGAATTTTCTACTGCCGACAAAATTACGTCTTGTTGAATATTTTCATTAACTTTAGGTCTACCTTGCTTTGGTGCATCCCTCACATATCCTAATTCTCTGTATTTTCGCTCTATTCTGCGTACCGTAGATTGTGAAATAGGTTCACGTTCTGGGTGCATTTCATGGAATAATCTGAATACCTCTTGTTGAGTCCGCATCCTGTCGCCAACACCAATCATCATTAAAATTTCAATCATCTCCTTTTCAGTTAAAGACATTTTCAAAAAAACAGTTTTAATATGATAAATTAGATTTAGATTTCACGTAAACGTACCTACTTTGAAGCGTTAACAATACAGAAGTGAACTTTTTATGACAGTTCTTAACGTCAATTAAAAAAACAAATGGCAAAAAAATACCTACAAACAATAAAAATAGTACGGTATAGTTGAGGGGCAAAGATCACTAATAAACATGGTTGGGGTGTTTTTTAATAGTTTATCAAAGTAGTTGTATCACAATACGTTAATTTCATTTAATTTTTTTAGTACGTTTATTCATTTGTAAATAACTTGTAATTTTGGTATTGTTGCC